TTCTGAGCGTGAAAGTGCTATAATATAGAAAAGCGCGCGACAGATGCAATAAGTTTCGCGTGCGTATCGCGATACAAGAAACGTCGGTCGTCCCGTTTTGAGAGACGCGACCGAGATTTATGAATTATTGATTCCGCTCTTATTTCCACCCGTTTCTCACCATCCAGCGAATTGTACGTGAGACCGCTCGCGCATCTACCGCATTGCTTGCTAACGGCAAAATCTCAAGCTAACTCGTAGTCGATCTTTCCGCCGAAGAAACGATCGGCCGGCACGGTTCGATTCAATTTTACGATTGCATCCATCCTTGAGAAGAGAAAAAGGAAACGGGGAGGATCGGCCCTTGCAATTTTCGGCTTGACCTTGGTACGGTCCAACCACGGGCCGGACGCCGGTCTAAAGTCCCGGCGAGATATTTTATTTCTTCAAAATCTAATTATAAGATTTTAATAGGGCTATCGTAAAACGGCCGAATAATAAGGAAGATTCTGACTCCCTGCCAAGGCCGCACGTTTAGCAGCACGTTTCAGCGCATAATAGATCTCGTATCTTTTCACCGAGTCCTGTACAAGGATATATTTTGAGGTATTCGAGGTATCTAAAGGACATGACCGTTAAATCGTTTTCATTCAATTGCCTATCCTGAGAGATCCCAGTAGGATGATTCGACCTTGTAGACCTTCGGTGCGCTGTAGGGAGCTTGGGCAAGATAGGATAATAGAGAAATACTGAGAGACTATACATCACGATTTCTCTCTTACCGAAAACAAAGTAAGATATATACTTTCCCATTCCGCATCCATTAAATTTAATGGGAATATTCATCCGACCAGTGTATCGGCGACGAAGAATGCCGTCGTGTTCAGGAATGCACGGAAGATCGAATACAGATTGGACGCAGTTCGAATAAGCGTAAGCGGATTTTCATAATACGGGGAACGAATTTCCATGAAGGTGCACGTGGAAGCACACGGACACGGATGTTCCAAGGTTTCTATTTTAGTTGGGCGCATTTGCGCATGCGAGCGAACTCTCGTCCACGAGGACATATTCCAAACACGTGGGCGCACTCGAGACCTGCTACCTGCGCGTGTGATCCTCGCAAAAATTATTTCGCGATAAAGAGTCGCGATTATCGCACGAATTCGTTCCTTCAACGTTTGTCGTCATAATCGTCGCGTTTCTTTTTTTTTTCTTATCGCGGCAGCGCGTTATCAATTTCTCCGATACGCACATCCGACAGGCCCAGGTGGGACGCGCGAGACGCGTCACGGCCATCGCGAGGCGTTGTGCAACAACGCGCACGCGGCGGAGGAAATCGAGGCCCGCGGAATTTCGTGGACGCATTTTCGCGGTCAAGGTGGTGCGCCTCGCCAGACGACAATGCACGACTGCAAACTCCGCGTCCCGTCGTAACGAGACGTGACGTCACGACATGGCGTCTACAGGTGAACGAGCAGTGACGACGGCGCGGGTATACCGTAGGTGAGCGCATTCGCTAGTCGATCCGATTGGCCGAAGGGGGGAATCCCCGCCCTTGCGCCGTGCGTGCACACACGGCGAGCCAACGGACCCCCAAAGCCCCCCCTTTTGCCCCCTTGCCCTCCAGCCGTCGCCGACCTCCAACCTTCTCCCTTTTCGCCACTCCGCTCGCCACTTCTCTATCTCTTTCTCTATGAGTTCCTCTCCCTTTCGTTACTCTTCTCTTATCCGTTCCCTACCCCCCTCCTCTCTTCCCTCATTCTCTTTCTCTCGCTCTCTACCGTTTTCTTTCCACGTACAACTGTGCGCAGTACCGTCGACACACTGATAACGCGCATACAGAGATTCTCTCGATCGACCCTCCTGTTTACACCTTTACCTATACCTGCGCAACGACGAGTGTGCTCACACACGACAGGTCTCCCGGTGTTACCCTCTTCCGTCCCACCAAAATTATCAGACGCTTACTCACTAGTGTATGTATACATACGCACGCACATATACACACGCTACGTGGCATGCTCACGCGCACCTGTACACAAGTGTACGGGTTAGCGGTACGCGCGTTTTTTTTTCCAACGCGTTTCCGAAAGTCAAATCGCGCGTAGACCCGAATTCGCGTGTCAATGGAAGAACTGCGCGCGAGTCGTGAAAACGAGAAGAGTCATCATCTCCATCTCGCCATCCTACGACCGATAATATCAGTCTCCCTCGAGTAAATCGAAGCTCTATAAATTTCACTCACGACCAACAATTAGCGAATAATAATTTACGATGGTAATTACACATTGAAATGCACATACGAAATATGTAAAACGCGCATAGATAGGCGAGGGCCAATCAAAAGCCCTGGTGTCGTAAGGCACGAATTTAAAAAGACGAAAATGCAAGAATATTAAGTACAGTCATTTGGCGGATAATCGCCAAAAATAAAGAAACATTAAATACAGCAATTAGCTCTAATGATCGAGAAAAACAGAAATGTGTCGGAATATACGCAAAAGATAGTCGTACGAGCTTTCCGCCATCATCTGCATGTGCATAATTACTCTCGGTTAATTATATACATTTAGAGATTAACCGCGCGTCTCATTTCTCTGTATTAAGCCCGATTAATACGGAGCCGCTAAACGCGATATATCAATATAATATGTGTGTATGTTGTGTGTAATTATGTGTGTGGTATGTGTGTACTGATCAATATATAGGATATAAAATGGCAACAAATTCGCGCGTTGATACCCCATTAATAACATGAAACTTGCTGCTCGATCTTCTCTCTCTCTCTCTCTCTCTCTCTCTCTCTCTCTTTGGAAAAGTTTTGCGTACAATTTCTTAAAATTTAAGTTTTTTTCAATAAAGAGGGACAACTAAATAGAGAACGACGAAAATGGAACGCACGGGCGAATTAATTTTCGAGCGCTCGTTAATGCCGATGGAAGTCACGATGGAAATCGTAGTAAACAGATTCGTGCTCCTTGAGATTTCAAATAAATTGCCGCTATTAATATAGATTGCAGCAATTATTTGCTCCGTGCACGGAACGCTTAAATCGCGAAATCCCTGGATGCTAATGCTATGTTCCTCCATTACTCCGATTCTCCTCTCGTTCGAATTGCACCTCGCTCGTGAATAATTCTAAATGTAGACTTGAACGCGTTAAAAAATCGAAGGCTTCAATCGCTCGTCACGATACGATTCTTACCGTAAAATAATCAAGCGCACGAATTGTTGCGAATCACGAGGGATAAGAGTTTCGACCGCTCGCCAACAACCACAAATACACTCTATATATTCTCATTTATATTGCATTATTGTGTGGTGGCCACTTCTTTTCCAACAAAACTCATTCGAAAAAGTTCCGATGAAGCTGATTCTCTGATTTTCTTGCACATACAGTAAACAGGAAGTCGCGGCGGTTAAAAGTAAAAAAGTACAAAATCGCGGTATTTGATGTAAAAAGTAGTGCGAGCTAATCGGTCGTTATATCGAACGGTAAGAAATCACGTTAGCAGAACGTAATTTACGTATGCACGAATAACGGCTAGGCTGGATTACAAGTATAGATCCATGTAAACGTACTTCTCTTCGTCTCGCTCTCCTTGGTATCTCGACGAACGCTTTTTATACACACGCTGAAACGCGGCTTTTATTACGAGCGCGAATAATCGCAAGCATAAAACACGTATTCGACGTGCATGAAAAAACGTTCTCCGAATGAGCGAGCGTCGCGAGATTGACATTGTTTGTAAACTAATATCGCCTTGCTGGCGAGCAAATCGAAACGTTTCCACATATTTCTATCGTCGCGCGGCTCAATCGCGATAGTGATATTCGATCTCTCGACCCCTTGTGAAAGCTTTTACCCACAATTTCGAACTTTAAAATGCAAATTATTTGCGAGATCGGTGAATATGTACGATTATTCACGCAAATACGATAGATCTTATTTATAATTTCCAATGTATCTTTACTTAAGTTGTAACCGCAATAAAGAAATATGATGCAGCGACAGCAATGTAACGATATCATATCAGACAGGTCATGTACTTAATTAGGCTTTCCATAATTAATTTGATTTTTGTCTTTACAAAGGACCCACCTACTTAACATAGTATGCGATCGGAACGAATCGATGCGATAGGAATACAAAGATAAAATTGTGCAGCCCCTTGTATAAATTGACGACTGATTTGAGTCTGTAAGTTTGTTGTCATTTTTATAAAACAAAAAGTTCGCTATTTTTATATTAATGTTATGTTTCCGAGCGTCGTTACCGTCTCTGTCCCTAGTTCTCATCGTATAAAATTAGATGTTGTATATAAATATTAATCTTTTTAACAGTACATTTTCGCGATTGCATTTATTACATGTAGTTTATAAACATTTCAAGATATATTTTGTACTCAATTAGACGATCGCTTCGAATGATGTTTCATACGATACTCTCTTCGATATCTTTGAATTTGACGAGGGCTTTGCATTAATGGTTAATTAATTAAATATATCTAAAATCTCAAGAAACACGAATATCGTCCTTCGAGCGAAGATGAAGACAAAATACAACACTTCACGATTGAGAATGGTGAAGCAGGAAGACACCAGGAAATATTGCTCATGATAATAAATTGAACCATCACTTCTGTTTTTTTGTTTTTAATTAAACCACGTCATGCGAGACTGTGTGTAAACAACGATAGAAAGAAGGTGACGAAAGGACGCTGTAATAATCAGAGCAAACAGTAACGATCGAATATGATCGAGTACGTTTCTACATCTTCTAGTTTATACTAATGATATAACGATTTTTGTGGGAATGGTGCGATCACCTATTCGCCACTTTTCAATTTGTCCGTCTATCTAATCTAACGTCTATCTCCAAAGTCATAAATTAGGTAGCGAACATAAAAACGATAAGAGAAAGATGCGTGGACACAGCGTTTTTGTTTTTCACTCGGAGGAAAAAAAGAAACCCTACGAAAAACAACGTATCTGTTTAAGCGTCGAAGCGGCCTTACCTGCTGGCTTTCCTCTTCTATTCGAGCTTCCTCTCCGTTCGCCGCCATGGACGCGGCGACCCCTGGGATTCCTGAACGTCCTGGATTCTCCGGGATCCCCAGGTTCTCCGGATTTGCTGGGATGGCCGGGTTGTCCGGGTGTTCTTCGTTACCCGGATTTACCGGTTCTCTCTCCAGGTTGCGGAGATCCATGACGTGGACCGGCTCCTTCTTTACCCGAATTTTGGCTGTTTTACCGCCACGCGGTGACTTACGAGATGAGAGACACGCACGCGCGACCGTCCGCGCTAACGAGATTCACAAAACTGCCGGTGCGGGTATACGCGGTCGCGATACACGCGGCGACGTAGCAGCGGCGCGGACTCGACTACACAAACACGTGGTCGACTGCCGCACGAGCGAGATATCGCTCCGCCGCGACGACGCGCTCCGTCGGCAAATTCGCGCCGGATACTTCGCGGAAGGAAGGGGCACCAAGTTACTGTAGTTAGGTACCAAAGTAACGTTGACGCGAGTATCGAGCAAATATACAGGCTATGAACGGACCCACATCTACCGATTTCACGTTGTGTGTTTCGCGAAGTACGAGTACCGAGGTATCCGAGTAATATCAATTACCGGGACGTCCAAGCATCAGAGCGATAAATGCGTCGGTATCGCGAGCAAATATAAAGCACACACGTTGGGATCGCAAGTGAATATGATTCGAGCGAGAGCTTACTCTCGCCGTGATCACCGTATTCTTCTCGCTCTGCTTCGGAGTTGTCCTCGGGATCCTGGGTCCCTTCCTTCTCCAAAGTGCACCAGGGCGCGAGTTTGCGAGTCGCTTTCTACGAGCGTGCGTATACACTCTCTCTCGTCGATGTCGTCGTCACACACGATACAACAGACGATGAAATATCGCTGATGTGTTGTTGAAGCACGGCGGAAACTGTTCGGAACGAAGTGATGCGAACGCGATGCTGTCACGATGCATACTCGAATAAGAATGAACGGACTGTGTAACCAAAGGGGCTGTGTCAAGGGTGCGAGAGAGAAAGGTATAGGAGATCTGGGATGTGCCGAAGGGTAGGGGAGTGATTGGAGGGAATGCCTGGACAATATCGGGCCAACGGGATTCGTGAGACAGCAAGATGGAGGGAATGAATCGCGTCGCGCGCAGCACCACCGAAAATTTTATGGTATAATTACCGGATTCGCACGGCCTCGCTTCCTGACACGATCACGAGCTCCGACGACTTGCTCCCCCCTAAGTTCGCTCAACGTGAATGCGCGCGCAACGGAGCGAGAGGGAACGGACGAAACGACGCGGCGGAGGCTGCGAGGATTCGAACACGCTCGCGTTCTACCGCGTTCTGAGGCTCCCGGTGGCGGCAGTTTTCTTCACCGTCGGAAATCCCTTCCTCACCGGCTACGTCACGCCTTCCTTGATGAAAGAGGGACAAGAGGCGGAGTTTTCTCACTATGGTTGCGAGTGTAAGTGGGCGGTTACGAGGCCGGAGCGCCGCCTGGTTACTTCTGTAATCTCCCCTCTCCTTACACCCCCTTCCCCAATGCCCCCCTTTCCTGAACTTCTCCGAGCATCTCTTATCCGATCTTTTACAGGATACCGCTTTTCCTCCCACGTTTCCTCTCGTTTCTATCGTATCCACACATGTCGATTAAATAACGCGGAATCGACAGACGTGTGAGTAATATCCCTGTGTTTCTACCGTGATTATTAGGTAAAAAGTGATCGTTATGCGTATGTAAAAAGTATCGATGCAAGAATAAATAGTATCTTTCACGTTGATTCCGATCCCTGAACGAGAACGTCGGCGCGTCACGCCTTCATTTGTAAGTACCGAGCTTACATATTTTTGTTTTAAGTTCCATTGAAACAATAGTTTTTTTTTCCAATCAAATAACATAATTAATCTAATAAAATAAAACTTGTAATGTACCAAATAAATATTATTTCGTTGAAAATCAAATTTTATTTTCTTTAGATAGTAGTGTTTTGTCATCAAATAACATTTCGTTTAATCTAACTCTAATCTCTTTGAAATACAATATTTGATGTAAGATAAAATGTTATCCAATATAAATCAAACATATCCAAGTCAAACAAATAAAAATACTAAATTCAAAGAAACCGTTCTCCCTGCATATATAAAATATTTTCCGTAAATAGAAATAAATTCTATATGATATAAGAAATATCTCAGTATCTAAAATATGGTCCCAGCGAGAAATGTCTCGCCGAATCGACATCAATTTGACATCGATTCGATGTTCATTTCTTGCTGGGGTCAGCATTATGTGAAATTAGTTGGCTAATTGATTATTTCTGTTGTTTTCTAACAGGTCACAGAATCGAGCACGTAAAGATTTCATAATCATCTTTGACACGTTTGAAATTTCTGCTTACCCGTTTTGTAACTTGTTAAAAAAGAAACAGCAGAAATAATCAATTAATCAACTAGCTCAAGTCACCCCTATGCTGTATTATTCCACATACAGAAAATTACACGATTTTCAGCTTTATACATAATCCATAAGATTGGAAATCGCATAAGTAACTCTTATTAAAATGATAGGATTATAAGAGCTATAATTGATGGTGATTATCAATATCACGGTAATTATCATGATTTTACGCTTTATTAATTTGTTAGTTTGATTTTACGCTTTAATAAAAATTGGCGATCAATTAGATCACTTTCGATATAGTCCAGACCTCGCGTCATTTATTATTTTATGAGATTATTTCTGGGCTTTTTCGGCTTTAAAAGAAAAAGAGTTGAGAGGAAAAAAATTTAACACAAATGAAGAAATTTAATTTAGCACATCCGCTATTCTGCTACGCTTTTCAAAAAGTGGATTACGGCACGTATTTCAGAAGCTAGTGGATCGCAGTAAAAGGTGAAATTTTACTTGAAAAAATTTATAGAGTGAGGTTAATTATATTTTTCTCTCACGCGATAAACTGTAATAAGATTTGCCAGCAAAGTCAGAATTTAGTGGAAAAAAGGACATTTGTTTTACCTTAAGTAATATTACAAAGAACTCTCGAAAAGTTAGAGGATACGTATTTTTATATTCATCATGTGTCGAGTTCGGTGTGCCAAGCGTGAAATCGGCCGTACAGATTGCACAGTATCTATATTATCTCGCGGATGTATGGCTAATCATCGGTAAACAATTTTCTATGTTTACTCGCGCTTGCACGCACGTCTACCGTGTGTTTCCGTACGTGCGCCAGCGAAGATAACAATCGAAATCCGAAGAATAATGTTTAAATGTCCGTCATTTTCCATATTTTCGAAATGAAATTACGGTACCAGATTACACGTGTTTGAAGGGACCAAACCGTGTTGTTAGCGCGGGATGCTCTACGATTATTTACACGTACGCGCTATTGACAGACGTAGGAGGCTCCTTTCTAACGTGTTGAATTTACCGCGCTGCAATCTGCGAGGTGTCCGTCTTCAACGGCAACGGCTTTTCTAATGTTTTGTCGAGAGTCAGTCTCCGATTGGAAAGCGTCATGTTGTTGCCATTTGGCAGTTATCGATAAGAAACTAGAATTAAAACAAGTATTTTTTATCGACTTGTTTTCCATGAATAGTGCTTTTTATTCCCCTGTATGTTTCGATTAAAATGAATATTCCGTTGAAGATGGGAATGGTAATAACTGATAATACTGAGGAGAAAGTGCGATTCTTCCTTAAAATAGAAGGATCATAAAAATAGAGTAAAATATGTTTCACAAGTTTCGCTCTCGAGTGAATTAATATCAAAAATCCAAAATTTGACTATCATTCTGTGTTCTCAAACATCTTCATGGTATGTCGTTCAATTTATCTCGACAACAGACATTGGAATATCAATAAATGTAACATATTTCACTTAAAAGACTTTGGAGATAATTGGATAAGAGGAATTGGAGTTAATATAAGTATTGAAAGAGAGAGAGAGAGAGAGAGAGAGAGAGAGAAAGAGAGAGAATATTGAAGGAATTACATATACCTATCTTTTACCGAACATTTATCTATCTTTCTTTTTTATAAAAATATTTGTTTTTCATATTCCGCGATTATACTCCTATCCTTTTCAAGAATATTAACTTTTGTTCGTTTGTTGAGACCGTCCGGGATCGAAACAAAAGATAGTTATTTTCTGCTGTCTCCTGAAGATAATTTCTTTTCTCAATATCCGAAGATTATTTCCAAGAAGAAATTTTTAATAGCATTTGTGAAATATGGTATCGAACAAACAATTTCGCCGAAAGAAGTCCCGTAAATTCAAAAAAATTTCAGGATAGCTATTTTTTGTCGCATACAACCCTATTAAATCATGATAGCAAAGCAAAAAAAAAACATATTTTTTTCTTCGATAGAGAAGCCTTTTCCCTTCGAATGTTTCGTATATCGCTGCGCGGGAGATACGAACGTGAGTTAGGAATAAAAAGTTCCCGTTCATACTTGAAATTTGATGTAAAATTTAGATTTAGATTTAGATTAAAAATTTCACTCACAGCCGGCTATATTCGGGGAATACAGAAGCTTTAAGGATCGGTAATGTTCACGCGTATGATCATGACGCGGATCGTCGCCTAGGAGAAAGACAAAGAGCAAGCAAAAGGAGGAGAAAGAGAGAGAAAAGAAGAGAAGGAAGAGGCGAAGAGAAGGATGCGGCTCGATACCGGTCAGCCAAGCGCGTTAAACTTTAGCTCTCTCGCCGTTTCGTTCTTCTCTCGACTGTGCGGGCAGTTAACACCCCGACGGCTGTTTGATCCCGTCAGTAATAAGGCCCATCTCGGACCGTTTCGCGAGATAGCATCCTCTTGGCTTCTTACTCCTCGTTTTCCTCTTCTCTGCCTTCTCAACCACGTATATCCCTCCTCGCCCTTCCACGAGTCTGTTCAAAGAATAAGATTCTAAAGATCGCGTTCTTTGGCACAACGATCGATCGATTTCGCCTAATTATCTCTACTGATTTACTCGTCTGTTTTCCCCCCTCGTTCATCGATATTCTTTATATAAGTTATTTACAAAATTCCATATTCCGCTATTTATATTCAATATACGATGGAATTTGTTTTAATAGATTAATTGATATATTAAATAAAAAGATAAAGAAGAATCTCATTCGCAAATTGCTTAATAATCCACAGTCGTAGGTGGTGATACGACTTGATCTCTCTGTTACTATAATCGAAAACATTCACGTCTGAACATTTGACTGCATTCAATTGAGATAACCGAGGACAATCTCCTGAACAATGAAAACTTCCTACAAGAATCTTTCTGTTTCCACAACCGAGTTTTCGTCTGATCACCAAAAAATAGAATATTTGAATTGTCGTAACCCAAATGTAGTTACGCAAATCGAGTCTCTTTTCGTATGTCTGGACATTACAGTTAGGGCTGCTAGTACAATTTTTTCAATTTTATACATATACTTTATGCATAAAGTAAAAATATCATAGGAAACCCTAAAAAATAAGCGTTAAAACGTATACAATGCCTGCTGTGCACCCTAACGCTCCTTTGTTCTCGTCCTCTATATCCGACTGAGCGATCCTTCTACACGTTTATACGTACATCTGCATGCGCACTGCATCACATACACAGTCAAGATAGCACACTCGGTGTGTATATGTTGCTTGCAGTACAAATTGCAGGTAATTGCAGCCCATGGAAGGCTTCGAAGGCTCTGCGCGGCGGCGGAGACGGTCGGAAAGAGAATGAGATGACGGAGGTAAGAGTTGGGAATACACAAAACTAGGAATTTTATAATCTGGAAGGGAACACGATGTTACCTACAGAAATGTCACAGTCACATTCTTTTTGTTGCTTACTATCTAACGTTTGCCTCGCTATGTATTATGAAAATATTCGGAATGGATCCCGGTCTGACTTTTCTATTGTACAAGGTTTCTTTTTTCTTAATCACTACCGAAGAAGGAAAATCGAACTAGCTCAATAAATCAAACGAAAGAAACCGAATGCTTAATCATGTAGAAGATATCAATCACTGTCATATTTACATATTTTGAGAAAAAATTTATTCGTTTCTTCAGTGGTTTTTTGTATCTATTTTTGGAGAAAATCACCATATTTTTAAGACCGCCGAATAGAAAACTTTTCTGACAACCCAATTCAGGCAACCAAACCAAATAAGTGGAACAGTCTTGTCATCTTTCCAGAAGATTGGTCTCTATACATTCTG